TGGGACTTGTGTTAAATATATCTTATTTTCGAAGATGTTGCTCTACTTTTGTGATAGTATATAGACAGGTACAAAGTAGAAGGTGTCAGTTATACTCTGAAGAAACCAACATGATATTTCGCGAAACATGAGCAATTTCGATTTATCAAGAAACGACACATTAGGAATCCGAGTGACATGTGACGCGACCATCGTAAGTGACGTCAAATTATTTAGTGAAGCTGAAATTTTAAAGTGACACGCGAATGAATGATAACACGAATTTTAGCACTAAAGTCAGTTTTAGTAGTAGTTAGTATTTCTTAACAAATACGATAAATCGTCTATTCGAAACATTCGACTTGGAAGTGCGGTTAGATAATAAAATATTGAATATTTAGGGAGACATTTTAGAGCTGTAACTACGCAGTTATATTGTTGATATTAAATTCCGACTGTTCTATTTGGCCATGTAAACTAGTTTTTGCATTCCATAAACAGTCATATTACGTATAATTGTATAATTTACGTATTAATTAATTCTTTTTTGTTTACTTTGCTTGAAAAGATGTGCTACCAAAGAATCCTTGCTGAACTTTCTTTGAAATTATCGCTTAAATTGAAAACCAGTCGCGGTGGGAAGCACCAATTAGCGCTCGTTTTCAAAACAGAGAGCACATATATAGAACCACTGGGAACAATTAATAGAAACTTAAAAGTTGCCATGTTACTCCAGTGAAATAGTAAGTTTAACCTGTTCCATGGGGCGACCAACCCTACTGGTTTCGGTTAAACTTTGTTAAACTTGTTAAAAATTGTTTAAAAGTTAAACTTGTGTAGCTGCTGATTGCCTACTTGTCTATTAAATATGAGCAGTTATATTTGTGATTGTGTTTTATGTGTATTCGTTTGATGTTATAGCGGTGTCTTTGTTTATACAGCATTTATTTAATTGTAAGTAATATCTTTATCGTCTTCGTTATTTAAACCAAACTTCAATTATGCTATATGCTATTTTTTACATATGTACCATATGAAAATACATTTCCGGATATATGAATTAATGCAGGAAAATTACCTTTGTATAATTCAGCACGTCTCATAATATGCCAGCTAAAAATTATACTTATTAGATTTGTTGCGGTTCTAATAAATTTATAATTTAATCCTTTTTTATGTCAAGATAGTTTGTTTATGTTTGTCTTATTTATCTTTCTAATTTAATTTGGAGGCTACAATAAAGCAAGAGTTCTAGAGTTGTCTGTGCAACGTCACTTTATCTGTTGTTCAATATGGATATCATATTTGCCAATTTTTAAAGAAAAAATAATTATAAAATTGAGTCGTAGTATATAAACGTCCAGTAAGGCTCATTACAATACTCGTGTGGTTGCACAGTGCAATATTGCCCACTCGTTAATGTAGTCAAGCTCATACGGCTCTAGCAATATAAATAACTACTGTTTCAGACCTCAGTTTTATATATTTTTTATTTTAAGTTAAAAAAAATGGTTTCCATAATATATTTTTTTCTTCTTCTTCTGCTTCTTTTATAAGTAACTTGGAAAGTTTTCTCGTTTTGTTAAGCCTTTCACTGTTCAGTTGACGACGAGAACCAGTTGTTTGTCCATCATGGTGGTGGTAAAGGTCCCTGTGGTATACTTCCTCTGAGTCTTTCATTCCTGCATATCTTTGCTAACCTGAAATTGTCCATAGTTTCTCCATATTCATTCCATCTTCTTCTTCATCTTTCTACGTGTTCATTCCTTCCTCTTCATCTATTGCTTGGCCATTTGATGACATCTTGAATGCTGCATCTCCCTCTTATGCTCGCATTAGTTTGTTTGTCTCCAACGCAATTCCTAATTTGGACCGTAATACCTTCATTTCTTTCATTCTCATTCTTTCTTTCGTTTGGCGTAGGTATATAGGCCCATGTTTCACTGGCCTTTGTCATAGCTCATCGGACTGCTGTTCCTATATTTTGTTTTGCCTTAGCAAGATATTTTTATAGTTTTGTTTAGCTGAGTTGGTACTTCTTTATTTAAATCCTAATGTTAGGAATGGTGAAATCGTTATTTGCTCTCATCATATTTCCATACAGCTCTAGTTTACATGTAATAAGCTGTTTATATATCACCATGGCTGTTATTTTGTTAGTTGATATTTCATCTGCACTCTTCATTAGATGAAATGTAGGTGAAATTTATTTCATCTGAATTCACAGCCTCCCTAATGATATGGTATATTCTATTTATGTGTTTTTCTGGAATATTGAATTCAACACAAACTTTACCCGCTTGTGATATTATGAGACACACTCAGCTCAGTTTACAATTAATCAATTTCTTAACGGTCTAGTCTACTGGCCTTAATGTGTGTTATTGTTCCTTCTTGCCTGCCATTCCTCCATGGTTCTCTTTTTAACGTCAGAGTGAGTCTCACCTCGCCCTTATTCGTATATTCTTTCTCTCTTTCTCCATCAAATCGATTGGCAGTATTCCTGCTATAACCGGTAGTGCCACCGCCGAGACTGTTTTGAATGCAGCAGTCACTCGTATTAAAGCTCTGCGTTGAGCCTATAGTTCCTTTTTACTTTTAAAGCTTCCGTCCATATAGGTACTCATACGGTAGCACCGCCCCAGACAATACCACTTTGTTTCCACTAGAATGCTTCCCTATATTTTGCATGTCATGCAAATTTACCAAGTCTGTCCTCACGCTTCTAACATGTTCCCCAAAATTACCATAGACTTCCAGTTATTCACTACTCTCTCTTGGTGTTATATCTAGACTAGACTCTGTACTTTAAATTTTGTGCCCTCGCCTTTTCTTTTATGTGTGGTGATCAGGGCTTCTGTCTTTTCTGGTGCCAGCTTCAGCTCATTTTCCTACATCCACTTATTTGTATTATGTATTAGAATTTTCTTATCCACAGACGATACTAGCAGTGCTTTATGGTCTGCAGAACCGACAATCTTTGCTCGTCGTAGTAATTTAATTTCAAATACGTCATTGTACAAGGTATTCCAAACTTTTTTTCCTAAGACGGATCCCTGCGGTACTCAAGTGTTTCCTCTGTGTGTGTCTGTTCTCTAGATATTCCGCAATGATATTGAAGAGATATTTTGATGTTTTTCTCGTTCTTAGTTTTTGCAGTATAAAATTCTAGTTTCTTTAATTTCCTGTATTGTATGTATTATCCATTCCCCCGCTTTTCCACAATTTCCTCTTCCAGTCTCCTACGTATCATTCCTTCATATAGTCTACCGAGTGCGCCAAGCAGGCAGAGTGGCCTGAAGGCAGTTGGAGTTCCAGATTTTGATTGTTTTGGTATCACTTTCGCTATTTTCCATTCCTTGCGAAAACTCTGCGTTTTAAGCACTAAGCACTACTAGGAACCAATCTTCCTGTACTTTCCCTGTTTGTTTGACAGCTTCTTGTGGTTACCACCCAGTCCTTCCTATTTTCAAAAAAATGAACTGAGGTGGCTTTTACTTGTTGAAAATCCATTTAACAAAATAAATAAGAACTAAAAGTTCAGATTTTCTCGAAATTATATATATCCACATGAAAATTGTTTCAACAACACCGTGTCTTTATCAAATGACAATAAAACCTTAATAAATTCATTGTCGAGCTTGAACAGGATAACTCTATTAATTTTTTAGACGTAACTATCACCAAAACACAAAACAAATTAGATTTTTTTCCATTTTCCATAAACCTTCACACACGGACACAATCATACATAACAGCTCAAATAACCCCTATACACACAAAATGGCTGCATTTCACTCTTTTATAATTAATACGCCACTCTCAACAGAAAATTACGACAAAGAACTTGATATCATTAAACAAATTGCACTGAACAACGGCTACAATCTGTTCATTATCATTACATACATAGGAGAACCCAGTGAAAAAGTTTCAAAACATTTGTCAAAATGTGATGTAAAAATAGCTTTCAGAACTAACAACACAATAGGAAAATTTTTAATAAACAATAAAACGCAAATTATCCACAAAAATCTCAGCTAACAAAGGACTAAGTGGGTTTCCCATAATCAAACCTAGATGTAAATATGTCCATTACATTCAAAATAATTTTGGTCTAAAGATACTATTAAGCAATCTAATAAAAATCTTGTTTCACCAATAGGTTAACCTGTTTCCGAGTGAGAGTGAAATCTACTAAATCTATCACATCCATAGGTGGAATACTGTGGTTTAAAAATAGCTTTCAGAACTAACAATTTTCAAAATTTTTAAAAACAAAAATGTCCAAAATCTCAAAAATCAGGTGCCTACAGGTTGAAATGCGGATCTTGTCCTCTAAAATTTATATTGGACAAACAGGTAGATTCTTCAAGAAATGCATTAACGAACATAAAAGAGCGTTTAAAAGCAATAGTCTAGATTTTAATTATGCTAAACACTTAAATATAGAACATTTTCGACGATAATTTTGATGTTTTACATACAGCCACACAAAGTAGAAAATTAAATATATTGGAAGCCATAGAGACATTCAAATGTATTGCTTAACGTTTAATAAGATTTAAATACTTCTCCATTATTAAACTTAAATTCTCACAACATTAATTAAGGTTTTATTGTCACTTTTCGGTATAAATAGTAGCAGGTAGTTTGTTAACATTACATTTTATAAAGACACGGTGTTATCGAAATAATTGTTATGTGAATATATAATTTCGTGAAAATCTGAACTTTTAGTTCTTATTTATTTTGCTTCCTATTTTCGTTCGTGGTAAAGCTCCATTCATTTCTACTGTACATAACTGAACTATGCTTCAAATTGCTGTTCACGACTCATTGCATAAACACCAAATTCAAGATTGCTTACAATTAAATAGATCCGAATTTTTTTCGCTGAACCCGAAGACGAATTTTATCGAATATTACAAAACCCGTTGTCACTTCGCGTCCCCATTCCACTCCCGTTTGTGTGTTTTTAGTACCGTCTGCAATTTGTGGGGCTTATTTTGCTTTTGCAGGTGTGCTGGCTCACAATATGTACGGCCTTGGTGGGCTACATTCCGAATCGCGAAACCAAGCAGTTGGTGAACCGTGGAGTGTCGATTATGTGTTTTGGGATTTTGTCGAGGGCTATTTCGTCTGTGGTGACGTACCACAATGAGGAAAACAAACCGAAAAACGGAATATGCGTCGCTAATCATACGTCGCCTATCGATGTACTGATTTTGATGTGCGATAATTGCTATTCGCTGGTAGGTTTGTATTCGTTGGTGTGATCGTTACTTTCGTCAGTGTTTTTCTTGCTTCCCCCCTAAAGTGTCCGTGATGTTTAGATCGGGCAGAGGCACGGCGGATTTTTGGGATTACTGCAGAGGGCGTTGGCGAGGGCGTCGCCCCATATATGGTTCGAAAGGTCGGAGGTGCGCGACAGACACGCCGTCGCTGAAAGGCTCAGGGAGCACGTGTCCAATCCGAATAATCCTCCGATTCTTATTTTCCCGGAGGGAACCTGCATTAATAATACGTCGGTGATGCAATTTAAAAAAGGCAGCTTCGAAGTGGGCAGCGTGATATACCCCGTCGCCATAAAATACGATCCCAGGTTAGTGCAATTACAGGGTTCCAGTATTATTTTGAATTATTTGCAAATTACCGATTTCGACGTTTTTAACGTCTATTTCGGAAATGTGTAGAGTGGCAAAACCTCATGAGGTATTTAGAGTAACCCGAAGAATATTTTAGTCACTTTCATTGTTTGACATTGGAAAATTCCATCTTTTTATCGAGTTCGGGTAGTATGGTCTGTTCATAGATAAAAGAAAGTGGCCAAATCTTTTGAACGGATTATCCAGGGGTGGTCATTAACATACAATGCAACAAGATTATTAACTTCATTAATAATTAATTACTAATTAACTAATTAATAGTTACCTTAATTAATGATAATATTTTTGTTGCATTATAAGGTTAATGACCACCCTTCGACAATTCGTTCAAAAGCATTGGTCACTTTCTTATATCTATGAACAGATCATACCACCCGGGTTTGAGGTTATAAGTCATTCATAAAATTGCTTTCGTTTAGGCAAGGAATGTGGCCTAAATATAAATTCGTTTAACTATAAGAGACTGTATTCATAAAATTGCAACTCTTATGATGGCAATATGTGCATTCGGCCAAGGGACGAGTGCGGTGAGGGGTGCTGCCTAAATATGAACGAGACGAAATTGTCGTAGTTGTTTTACACATAGTAAATTTGAAATATTAATCAAAGTATTTTTCCAAAAAAAAACTTTTTTTTACTATTTACAAATCTTTTGGATTCTTCCTGCGTCGGTTGTTGTTGAATCGAGCTTGCTGACGTTTCGCCAATCAACCTGTTGGCTCCTTCAGAGCTTAACTAAAACTGGTTCGCTGATCCATACATGCTTATATATTGTTTGAGAGGGGCGGGGGCAAAAGGAGGGACATGAACATTGTCTCGGATGACTGATTGCCATATTAGTGAAAGGTAAAAACTTGAGTCGCGGTTAAGATTGTTTAGCTGCTTCTACAGATTTTCAGATTTTCCGTTGGTATAAAAATAGATTACATGTAAGAATTTTAGTTTTATCGATCTAATGTCAACACTAGTGAAGTCATCAAACTCTTCTCAACTACCAAACACTGTGGTAAGTGTCATCGCGCCAAAAAGGAAATCATTTCAAATGTCGAGTCTATCCTAAACAGTCATCTCTAACGAAATTCGATTTGAAACCGCAAAAATTCTAAAAGAAATCCAAACCTCCTGTTAAGGGTTGAATAACATTTTTCGGAAACTTTATAATTTTTTTCCTTTGAGTTGACCTTTTATTTTCGAGCTGTGTATACAACACCCCCATCATACCCAACCTTGGTTAAGCCGCGAGAAAAGACAGACGATCCACGAAAAAACAAGCTCTCTTCTGTGACCGGTTCGCGAGAACCCCACGCTGTGTTGTGGTCCCTTACCACCCCCAACCCTCCAGAAAATACCCCTAAGAAGACCCGGCCGGCCAGTCGACGACGCGGGAAACCATCAAGGTGGGTTATTAACCGTTTCGGGTGTTGTATGTCCTACCGTTTTCTTGCCACTCTTCCCCGTTTAAGTTTTGAGGCTGATTTACAACCACCTTCCCCCCACCCCTTACATATTGGTGCTTCGAGCCAAAGCCAAAGTCTGACTTCATTGTTATAAAATCTCTAAAATATAATCCCGACACTGTAATTCTAAAAGCAGGTGGTTATAAACACAACTGAATATCAGGAAACAAATTCAAGGCATCCTTACAAATGGATCCTATCCAACTTAAAAAGATCTTACGTCATCTATGGAATGCAACTATAAATCTGTTATTAAGGCTTCTTCTCTATCAGAATCCGTGAAAAAGTCTTTCACTCCTCACGAATCTGAAATTTCTCGTCTCTATGGACTCCCTAAGATATCTAGCTTCTATATTAAAACACTTTACAGGGAAAATTGATAGTCTTATACTTAATTCCTTTCATTTCATTAAAAACCATTACATTAGATCCACAGGATTTTCTGGTTAGTTTCAATGTAGAATCCCTCTTTGCTAAAGTCCATATTCCTGAAACTGTCAACATTATTTCAGATATATTAAAATCCGAGAATCTTAAACCAAACCTTCTCACCTTAATTGAAAAATGCTTGTGTGTGTTTTTTCTTATAACGGTTAAATTTCTGAAGAAACGTCGGGAACTGCTGCGGGTTCTCTACCATCACCAGTCATCGCGAATATATTTTTGGATGCCTTTGAGAAGAAAGCTCTCGACACCTTCTATCTAAAACCAAAATTATGGAAACGCTACGTTGATGATACTTTTTTTATTTGGACTCGTGGTCAAGAATCCCTACAAGATTTTCTTGCCCATGTAAACTCTATACACCCTAACATAAGTTTTACCATTGAATTAGAAACTAATAATAATCTCCCATTCTTAGATATTCTTATCAATAGAAACCTAACATTGAGCTCAGTTTACAGAAAACCGAAGCACAAGACCAATACCTCAATACAGTGTCACACGACAATCCGGCCTAAAAATCATCGGTTATCGACTCTTTTTTTTTTGTTTACAGAGCCGTAAAACGATCTCAACCCGAGTCTCACTGAACCCACACTGGCCACTTCCTTACATTTAAAACATCACCGACCACATATCAAAACATCACCGACCACATATCAAAAATTCTTAAGAAAAATAACGTCAAAAAAAGATTTAGTACTTGTCCAAAATTCTCTCAACATGTTATGAGATACCAAGAGTTTATAGCATTCTATGCATATGCGGCAAATAATACAGGCCGGACGAAAAATATCAACTAGGCCCAAAAAACATGAAAGAACCTAAAGACTTAGACAAGTAAACTCATAAGCAGTTGGCGAACACAATAGCGAAACCAGATATCAAATTTTATTCGGTAAAACTAAAATTCTTGCATGTAATCAATTCTTCTACCAATGGAAAATCCGAAAATCTATGGAAATCTATAAGCAACCAGACAATCTTAACCGCGACTCAGTCTTTACCTGTCACCAATATGGGCATTAGTCATTCGCCCCAACGAACAATGTACAGAATAAGCTCTGATGAGACAGGAGGAATCCAGAAGATTTTCTTTTACTAATAGGTATTATAGGTTAGTTTTCACTAGTAAATTATTTGGCCATCTTTTGCCATTTGCCGTTTAAAATGTTTATATTTGGTTTTAGAAGTTGTAATAATTATATATTATAATAATATTAGTTTTATGAGCTATACGTCCGCATGTCAATTAAGTTTATTAAGTCAATTAAGTTCAGATTTGTCAATTAAGTGTAGACTACATACCGCAATTTAAATTGTGACATAACCCTCAAAATCTTCAAGGAAACAAATACGTACCGACAAGCAAAAACCTTATTCAAAAAACACATTTTGGATAATATAAATTATCAAAAATTATAATAATATTCGTTATTTCTTCTTAACATTGTAATTAAATCCAAAAGCCACATTTCCCACTCACTGATAACTGAGTATTGGAACCTAGGATTTGCATTGTTAATCACACCACACCATACCATTGATGATAACCCTTTAATAGATTTGTCAATTAAGTGTAGACTACATACCGCAATTTAAATTGTGACATAACCCTCAAAATCTTCAAGGAAACAAATACGTACCGACAAGCAAAAACCTTATTCAAAAAACACATTTTGGATAATATAAATTATCAAAAATTATAATAATATTCGTTATTTCTTCTTAACATTGTAATTAAATCCAAAAGCCACATTTCCCACTCACTGATAACTGAGTATTGGAACCTAGGATTTGCATTGTTAATCACACCACACCATACCATTGATGATAACCCTTTAATAGATTTGGAGACGCTTTTTGGAATAGCAGCAAATATTCCATGCTGCAGTACCTCTACATGATGATGACGAGTTGGGCGATCGTCTGTGACGTTTGGTATTTACCACCGATGCACCAGAAAGAGAACGAGTCCGCAATAGATTTCGCCAATAGGGTAAAAAGTGTGATAGCTAAACAGGGTGGATTGGTAGATTTAGTATGGTAAGTGTATATATATTTTTCAAACGGGCAGTGTTTATTGATCGGCGGTTGCATTTGTTAGGGATGGTCAGTTGAAGAGGCAAAAGGCAAAAAAAGAATGGAGAGAGCGACAGCAAGAAGAGTTCAGTAAAAGGTTAAAAGTCGAGTAATAGTTTAGGTTATATCGTCATTGTTATCGGGTAGTAATTTTACATTACATTTTGCGTAATAAGTTCATTGTGTTCTGATCTAGTCTTTCATTTCGTGATACTGATGTAATCCCATTTGTAGTTTGGCAATTTTAAAGAACCAGTCATGTTGTTTTTAGATTTATCACAGAGTATTTCAGTTTCATATGTTAGAATTTTTATAGGTAGCTTTCCTTTATGAAAAATAAGTTGCAGTTTTAGACAATAATATTTTTTAAGGAATTTATGAGAATTATTGCGTATGTGTTCCAAAACAAATTTTGCAAAATGCTTTTTATTGTCAAGTCTTGTCGGGATCACCCAAATCAGACCAAAGCGCTTTAGATACTAATAAATTGCAACACATCCTATTGGTTTCCCTGTGTGATTTTTCGATTTAATCGTCGATATAGAAATAAAACCGACTGAGTTTTAAGAGCATTTATTTTGTAAGTTTTTTTTTTATAAAACACAGTTTGTAAGTGTGGCCTTTTCTATATTGTCGAAGTTGAAAAGTTATTTATCATAGTCGTGTAAATATTATAGTTTTGTATTTCTTTCAATTGCTACAAATACATATTTAGTAAGAGGCGTGGTTATTATTTGCGATGTTGTACAGCGACGACGTGGTCATGCTTTTGTCAGCTCATATATGCAGCATGTCCAAGTACAAAAAAAATGTATACCATGAGAGAGAATCTACAATAAATAAGTATAAAAACGTAAATAAGAACCAGCAGGCATAAAACTGAACAAAAAAATTGGAAAATATCCACCACAATCAAATCTATTACGAATTAGAAGAATCTTTTAAAATTTTTAAATTGCAAATTTGTGACTAGGTTTGGAATTGGTGGATTTCAATTGCCTAGTTCAAAGCAAATGATGACTATCTGAGTGAAAGAATAACAGATTTTTCAAGTTATAAGTGTCTAAAATTGTGTGATGAGTAATATCAATAGCAATGGCAAAACCTTTAAGTTTTGGAAACAATGCTCCCTATGTCTCGCGTTGGATATAATTCTAATCGCCCTTTTTTGCACTGGAATAATATTTATGGAATCTGTTGTTTCCCCGCGGTATAACAGCAAAATTGAATAAAAAAGAGCATAGTAAGTTGAGACTAGATAATCTTTTCTAATTAAATTTCTTAGTCGTCGGAGCAAAAAGCTGATACCTGAGATGCGCTTTACTGAAGGAGGGTTTCACTAATAAAAACAGTGCTGAAGCGAGTAGTAGTTTTTTGTCACGTGAGCTTGAAGTTAATAGTGTAAAACTACAAACATAAATGTCAAACAGCTGTTTCGTTTGTTATTGTACTTCTCGTACAGAACTAGTTTTTTGAGTGTTTAGTTTTATCAACCATTTTTATTAGTAATGAATAATAAGTTAATATTTGCGCCTTTTTTTTTGTTTTATAGAAAAAATATCTATACGACAAGGATAATGTAATTGAAAAAATTGGAAACTTATATTACTATGAGTGTATAATTTATTTTTATTATTATGGTTTGTATTACATTTAAAATGACTAATTTTTAAATATTTAATTTAATAGAATATTTCTAAAATTATTAACAGCGTTCTATATTATTTATTTATATTTGTGTTTTTTTTTTAGAAAAAAAATTTAGGGCATCAGCCACTACAAAATACAGTCAGGCACTACCACAAATATTTGAATTTTAGTCTTCTTAACCGAAACAAATTAAAAATTGTACTTAGTCACCTGTCCATAAGAGCATTGCGAAATGTACCACAAATCGCGCTTTTTGTGCGAGGCCACCTGGAGGTATTAAGAGAATTATTAATTATTAATCTTACTTTTACCGGATCTTGTCGATTTCTGTTATGGAACTCTAAAATCGCAAACGGCATAGGTGTGGTCTGGGTTAATTTGTGTTATATACTAGCTAGACTTTCTCAGCCCAGGGGTTTACTAGTTAGACTTTACCATAGACTGGAGAAGAGAGGAAAATGGTGATACCGATTATTGAGCTTTGTATTGTAATAAACTTAGTCAATACTAAGTTGTTTTCACAACATAATAAAAAAATTTCTTACATTTTTTTGCTGGATATCCATCGCATAAATAATGTTTTTAACCGAACGAAAAATTTTCATTTATTTTCATGGAAGATTGAAAAACGCCCCATGTCTTGATCGGTACCGAGGACATTGCAACGGCGTATTTTACCGTTATATTTTTTTCAAAAATCCAAAATGTAAGTTAATTTTGTTCTATTAAGTTTAGGAACAGGATTTTCCTTTTAAACGTACCAATTGGTTCATTTTATTCAAAAGAGAAAAGAGTGATGAAGTAAGGTTAGTTTGATCATGATCATGTAAAAACAATTCGATTCTCGAATTTTCAATTGCATTTAAGATTGCAAACATATTTATTGTCTACTAATTCTCCCTAAAAATAAAGAAAATTTGTTGATTTTTTTATTAAAAACTAAAGGATTGGCTGCTATAACGTAGAATATTTGTTTGAAAAATGTTGCCATTTCATTATTGCCTTTACCACTGAAATACTGTCTATAAGCTCAATAACATTTTTTGTGATTCAGCTTCCCTTTAATCTCATTTACAAGGCTTTTACATAATGTGTAGGCTTCACAACTTGCTTATATACTCGACATAGATACCATAGCCTATGTGAGGCAGAATATGGACTCAGGTGATAAGACTCCTCAAATAGAGAAATAGCAATATTTGGCTGGTTTACCAAGTTCGCATGTTAGTATGTATGTATGTAGTATGTTTAGTATGCTAAAATTTGTAAAGTTGTCTTCTTTTAAAACAATTGGAGGAGAAATACAAAACACTTTAATACATGAATGAAATATTTATAAAATAATTGAAATGTTACTACAAAACTAGAAAGCAAACTACTTTTTCATGTCATATTCACTGTGCTACTTTAGCTTTGGCTTCTTCAAGTTTTTGTTTATTAAAGAGTTCAATTATTTCATCTGTGGCTGTTCTTTCCAAAAGGAAAGGTTTTGACAGTTCAGAATTTGGAAATTCAACCAAATTCATCTGGGGATCTCTAAATGTGTATGGTGTCCAAGGCCCTTGAATAGATGGACATTCTGTAAAGATCAATTTACGGATTCTTGTGCCTGTGGCGTCTCTGGATTGGCCTTTTAGTAATTTTAACCATTTTAGGATTTCTTCATGTGTAAAGTTTCTAGCATTTATCCATTGAGTATCGCCATTTACTGAAAAATAAATGTGAAACTATTGTCATAACTATATATTACAAATTTTACTCACAATATTCTGCTTTTATTATAGGCGATCGATGCCTTCTAGGCTTTAAATAAATGACAAATTCCGGATTTTCTTTAGCAAATCGAACTAAATTGGACTCCACAAATTCTCTAAAAAATATATATTTTTTTTCCACTTACACCATGATTAAAGTTTGTACCTCATTCCTCTACTTGATCCATTGTTTTTACAAAACTTTAAAACAACTCTCTGTAACTGACAAACATATCGGCCTACACCATTTTGAGATGGGTTTCTTATAAAACAAGGCTTTAAGAATAAGTGGCTATTGGACATTATTTAAGAACACATACATTCAATTTCACAAATTTAAAATTATTAAAGAAACTTAACCTCACTTATACCTGGTCCACTCCTCTTTTTTAATGTTTCTCATGCAGCTGGCCAAGGTTGTCATAATCATTCGTCCATGACCGACTTCCGTTACTGTCACAGTGAACACAATAATTATTATATGGATTATATGCGTTTACAATAAATGGACTTGACTTTCTTAATTAAACTTATGTAGTACGAAATACTTCAGCACTACTACAAACTTAAAACACATCCTCTCTATAATATGTGAGCATATCTATGCATTAGGATTTCAGTGGTTTTTGAGTTTTGATATATATTTATTTATGCATTTGGATTTGGATTAAGGATGGTAACCAAAACAGAGGGCATTAAAAAAGAAAGATTTGTAGATTCCGGTAGACCAGGAGAAAATCAGGGTCGATTCTATGGTCTTCCTTAAGCCGATTTATATATTTCAGTTATACCTGGAAGGCAATTAATTCCACTTAAATGGTAAATTATTACAACTAACCAAAACTAGTCCCGGACTAGCGAATTAACCATAGACTTGATATTTTAGAACTATCTCCATTTGATTTTTTTTGTTTACAATCCTTGATACTGAGGAATAAATATTGGTGAGTTTCAATTAGTGCAACGGCTGAACGGTTCGTTATTTTGAAGTTACAGAAATATAATGGACCGTGCAACCCATTTATGAAATATGTTCAATCCGCGGTAAGAATAGCTTCCTTGGTATAGTATTAGTTAATATTGAATGTACCTGAAATTGTGTTTTAGATTTAATTTTGGAGTACCATTAGAAGACATTTTTCCTTCTGACGATGTACATCCCAGGCTGAAAGTTAGTATATCAATGTTTTACATGTAATATGAAATGCGAGATTTACACAACGATAATCGATTATTTGATTTGATAAAAGTCACAGACACCAAACTGATTTTGTAAATCCCTTGTACCCATTTTTGCTTTAATAGTTTGATTTGGACTTATTACACCAAACACCTGTTTTAGCCAAACGTCCTCTGCAATTTCAGTAAACTGTCTAAAATAATTTAGGAAAGAAAATCTGGAATAAGCGCATACAAGGTGTCCCACCTGAAATTTCAGCGATGTGTTGTTATGAAACTATTAACTAGCAGAAGTTTTGGATGATATAACAGTCGATGGGGGCTATCTGACTAAAAGGTGGCAGCACGTTCGGTTGTAACCTTAAGGGATTGTATATTTTATAATCGTTAGGTCGTTCTCAATATTTTTGGACAATATAGTGACATTAGTAGACCAAAAAATGTCTCTTAAGTTTTTCCTATAGGGAAACATAATTTCATGTAAATAACATTTGCAAAAAAATATTTAACCTCCATTTTAAATTGGAAATAATTGCTTTTTCATGAAACAGATTTAACAATTATTGAAATTTTGAAATACATTGGTCAAACAGGCCGTTTTATACAAGTTATTTAATTTATGTTATAAAGGATTTCGTATAGCAAACATTTGCAGATACTAATAGATTAATTGTGAAAGCAAAAAACAAAACATTACTTGCACAATATCTTTGCAGTGCTGGGCTAAACAGATCAGAGATTTCTTGGTGCTGTCAAAGCCTCCTGCTGGGTAATTAAAATATCCCTTAATTTAAATAGGTAATTGGAGAGTTGGCCAACTTCAATTCAGCACTCCGGCTGAGTGATACTACTGTCCTGCTTTACAGTGTTCTCTAACACATTAACACATTTCTGAAATTGCTTGTTATTTGAAGTAATTAGACGTGGTACTAATTTTTTTGCAACAAATCCAATTTCCTAGCAATTATAAATCTTTTAGCTTTGCCCGAGAGTGTTTTTATTTCAGTGAACCATCCTCCATTAAAGCTTGTCTTGCATTTTTAAAATTTTATCCTGCCATGTTTAACCAATCATTCATTTACCCCAGTTTCCTCCTGCTAATATAATATATTCCTGTCTTCCTTTTGAAACTATCAAACTGTTCTGAAGTGTCATCGCTGCATGGATTTTCATTCTCATCTATTGAAATTCCCTTTCTGTACTTTTCATTGGTTTATCCTCGTGCACAAATCGGTATATTATTGAATGATCAACTCCTCATATTTGAATATATTTCAACTTTTTGAACGACTTCGAATGATGAGTTGCGCAGTTTAACTATTTCACTTCTCAACATCAGAAAACACTAGAACTAACGGTAAAACTAACACTAAGACACAGTTAAGGCAGCTACCTGTCCGTCTGTCACTTTGAGGACCTTTGAAAATCATTATAGGCACCATATCACGCCTATGGAATACAGCAACGACCACCAAGTTTTACAGTGCAACAACGATTAACTTTCTGGCATTAAAAAACAGCATATATGTAGCTCCTTTTTTTATTATCTATTGCTATTTTTATTATTATCTATCTCTAAATTGTGTTCCTGATTTTTATCAAATTTTTAACGACTTTTTGGTACTAATAATATAAATAATATAAATAAAATATAAAATAATAATAATGTATTAATAATACCTGATGTAATAACTTAATTTGTAAGCCAATAAGGCATACTCTCACAAGTAGTAAATATAAGATGTTGAAATATATTGGTTCTAATCATGGGTAGAGACAATAGTCAAGTTCTAGAACTGTACTGGTAAGTTTGATATTTGGCATATATACTTGAAATTACAGAAACTACAAACATGAACAAACATACCGATCACTGTTAAAGCACCATTTCTAATAATTTTTGTTCTCCGCGTTAAACATATCATTTACATACTTATTTTCAAATTAAAAATAAGAATTTTACAGTACAGATTGTACCTATTTTTCAGTATTTGTTCTCCAAAGCCTATGATGTATTGGCTAATAACAATGGGGATATGGAAATCATTTTAAGGTATGAATGTGTGGAAAATGTAGTTCATATGTATACCATTTTTTTTTAAGGCGTCAAGGATCTCTTAGTGAAAGATTATCGCTAAGGGACAAACTCGTGCTCGATACGACCTTTGATTGGCAGTTTCCTCCTGGCGTATACCTTTGGACAATCAGACATTTCTTGGGTTTACTGCCTCTTCCCGTACTTCCTAGGTACACTAACAACGTTACTTTTTTCTGGACTGAGCTATCTAGACAATGCAGAGTGTATTTGAAAAATGACGCTGACGACAGCGAATTAGACCATTTAGATCGCGGCATAGCGGAGTATGTGAAGACAACCTTCTTTTTAGCCTCTTAACGACTCTTTTGTTTTAGAACCATGAGTTTATTGCCTGTAGAGAATTTGATGATGCTGAATTTGTGGATTACGTTTTCGATGAAAATTTCGTGCAAGAGTGTTAGAGGGCGCCAATTTACTAATAGAAGAAACCTTGTTAATATAGCTAAATACTATTGTTCAGCAATTTTTGTAAGACCATTTCAGCCTGGTTATATGGGAAATGTATTTTGTTCCAAGTTTTAATTCTCAAAACTTTCTAGAAATTTATTTTAGAATGAAGCCTATTTGCCACTGCTTCTCTATTTGATGGTCAGATGGAAGCAAGTGCAAAATAAAATGCCTTCAAAAAGTGGCCGACCAGCACCTCTTCTGAAATGGAGTCTCCGTTCAGGTTCTAACCACAACAGAAGCAGACTGAAGGATAATTGGTCGCAGACCATCACAATTCACCCTAATATAAATAATATTAACGAAAACTATGCTCAATTCAAAAAAGAAATAGGTTGTCAGACTGAGACAGAATTGTAGGTACCAAGTTTATCAATTTTAATTTTTCCTTCCGAGTCGCACCGTTTAGGGAACCTTTTGAACCCTACAGATTAACGTACATTGAGGAACAAGAGGATCCAACGTTGTTCCAAACTGCAGCTGAATTTTCGTTTCGAAGTTTGTTAGATGAGCCTGTTGAAAATGATTGGGAACAAATTTCTAAGGAAACTGCCGATACAGTGAAAAAAGTGGAAGAGTACATATATGATGATTATGAAACATTTGAAAAGGAAGATTTTAATCAGATATTGGACGGGCGAAGTGAGTAACATTATGACTTATTTCTTACTGTAATTTTTGGCCCATTATCAGAGGGGGACTCTTTCATAAATAAAATATCAAAATTTGGTTGGACGTACACACCTAATCAGATAGAAAGAATGAGTACTCCAAAACATGGATTTCCGAACGATTCAGGGTATGTCAAATATGATGATATATTTGAGGAAGAAGAAAGTGTTAGCACTGATCATCTGGGGAAAGATATATGTGATGCAAAGCTAAATAAGGAAACTACAAAAAATAAAAAGGATCGCGTCGGACCCAGGCTTAAAACCAAGAAATTCATGCTGAACAAAATTAGAATGAGTTTGGAATGCCTGAAAATGTTGACTCCAAAAAAGACTAACATAAAATATGAGTGCCTTAAAGCAGTCCATTCAAATACAATGTAATTAGTTTTTCCTATTTTTGTAAACAAGTTTTGTTGTGTTTTTAAATTTTGAATGTATATTTTTTGTTTCATTACATTAATATAGTATGTTTTAATATATGTAAAGATTTTTAAGATGTGCACAAAATTTATTGGTATTGCGTAGTTGAAAGATATTGGTTGAAAATTTTTGCAAATCTTTACTGAATTTTACTGTTCCCGATTGTGTAATTTTTTGTCTAGACCTCATCGTTTCATCTGCATTTTACTATATTATGTACAAATCTTCTGGATTTCTCCTGAGTCGGTTATGTATATATTATGATAAATCTGGTTTTGACGTTATATTTCTTAAGAATATTTGATGTGTGGTCAGTGACGTTTTAAATGTAAGGAAGGACAACAGTATTAAGTGTGGGATTGCTTTCGGGCTCATTGTCTTTGGAAATTTGTGGTGAAGTGTATCTTATGATGGCGCGCTTAATATATCTCTTAATTTGGAAATTATTAGAGAGATCAAATGTAAGGGGTTTCAATTCTGCAAACTTCAGCAAATTTGATTTATAAACAACCGGCGCAGGAGGAATCAAGAAGATTTGTAAATAGTAGCCTATGCAAGGTTCTTTGAAAAGTTTTACCATATTAGTAATGTAAATATCACATTAATAAATTCAGATTTATTAATATTTTTGTCCCTTTTCTATTGTTAAAATTTTCCAGCTCTTATGACCACTCCGATTTTGAATTGCGTTTTCGTTAAACTTTATCAAACGGTACTGCAGAGTAAAATATATACACTAAATTTTGTTTATTACTGTCTATCGTTAATTGTGATTAATTTACAACCCTACATATTGAGGTGAAATATAATACTTGCCGTAATCAATCACCCAGCATAACTTAATTCATTGGTATATTTGCTATTGAAAAACCACATCTTTCTGTTTGGTTATCATTTATTCTCAACAGGGCTATCCAATTGTGTTCCTGATTATTATCAAAATCTTTCACATAAAATTAAATTATTTTCACCATTGCTTTAAACATCACCTATGAATTGAAAAAATCATTTTTGTATTTTAAACTGTAACAAATTTATTTTATGCTTCTAGTTTGCTTGGTCCTTCTTCATCTAATTCCGGCATTGATAAGAACAGTTCTCTGTTATTTTTGTTCTGTGTACTTGGTGCCTTTTTAATTGTACTGATGGAAATATCTTGTAAAATATTAATAGAAAAACTATCAGAGATATCTGCAGTTGTTTCTTTCAAAAATCTGTCTATAATTTCTACTCCACTAAAGATATTCTCCATGTTTTTATCGGAACTGACATCAGTAGTAAAGTCCATATTTTCCAAGGATTCTTTTAACTCCATACACTTTTGGGCTGTTAATTTGTCAATCTCCTTTTTAGAAACGTTAGAGACAATTAAATTACTTTCAGGAGCCAACAGTGTTCTTTTGCTTCTAGTCTGACTAAATTTCATTCTTTTAAACTCATCAGGGTGTTTTCTTTTCCAGTGACGTTGCAAAGATCTTTTTAGTTTTACCTTGATGTGACAAATTTCACATTCAAACCATGACTCGTCCCGTGAATGTTTTGGTTTAGTTTTGTGTTGCAGTCTAAGGTGTTTCGATAAATTTTGTTTTTGCTTATACGTCTTTCCGCAAGTAGAGCATTCATAATTTAGATTACCGTGTATTTTGATGTGCGCCTGTAGCATCTTTTTAGATTTAAATCTCTTATCACATATAGAACAAAATGTTTCTTTACTGGCACCCAGACCATGAGTTAATAAATGATCTCTTAGAACATCTTTTCTGTTAAATTTTTTATCACATATTTTGCACTCATAACAATTGTCTTGATGTATTTTTAAATGCCGCTGATAAATTTGCCTTGAGGATAGAATAACACCACAATGAGCACATATGAATTTCTCTTTGCGCTCTGAATTTGAGTCTTTATTGTGGATTTTCAAATGTTTTTTTAAATAGATTTCTTTAAAAAATATCTTAAAGCACAGAGTACACTTGAACTGTTTTCGATTTTCTTCTGGGATATTGCGGCATAAATGTGTCTTGAGGTTTGAAGGCGAGAGAAAGTGTTTGTTACACTCTTTACAAGAAAACTTTCTATGGTGTACTACAGACATATGGTAAGTATAGAACTTATGCTGGAAAAATAGTCTTGAGCAAATTTCACATTTAAATTCAAACTTGCGATGGCACTTATGCCTTTTAAGAGTTTCGTCGCGTCCGAATACCATTTTGCACAGTGGGCAATAATGTTTTCCAGTGTGTAGCACAAGATGTTCAATAATTGATCTTAAAGTTTTAAATTGCTTTAAACAAATGTCGCAGGTAAAATTTTTCTGGGTCGTTTCTGTAGTTTCCAAGTCAAAATCCCAATCCAAATTTAAATTTAAATTTTCACTTCCCAAAAGAAGATTATCATGTTCATTTATATCAAACATATTGTTCAAATCTGGTTTTTGTAGACACAGGTTTGAATCATCTAAACTATCTAGACCAGTACTATACTGCAGTAGGGGTCCTCCAATTGACACATCTTTTAATTCATTGACATTTTTTACAATACCCTTCTCAGATTTTGGCATTGAAGAAGAAGCAGATATTTCCTTCTCTTCAGTTTGGGTCTTATGAAATAACCTTAAATGTTTAGTATAATCTTTTCTATATAAAAATGTCTGTTTGCAAATTTCACACATTTTGCTTAAACGTGCCTTGTAATGAGAGTGAAGATGGGCCGCAAAAACTGTTATATCACTTTCCAGTTTGTAGCAAAATTTGCAATTCCATGTTGAACGAGATGTAATCTTTTGTTGCTTTTGGATTAAGCTGTTCAAGTCAATATTTTCTTGTACTTTAAAGTGAGTGTCTGGCATATCTTTGAACCCAAGAAGACCATTTTGCATTTTTGAAGCATAGAAAGGTGAATACCACACTTTTAAAGGTTCACCGGGATTTATATCTTTTATCACAGCAAAATATATTTCTTCATTTTCTTGATAACAAATCAAATTTTGTTCTTCCACATAATTGGCAAAATTAACGAACATCATCCAATTGCATTCATTCTCATCAGCAGTATCTAAATAATATGCACAAAAATCTTCATCATTTTTTGGAAATATTTTTAAAGGAAATAAAATTTCTGGTCTTAAAGTTAGAAGTTTTTTAGCTTTAACTGGACCAAATTCGTTTCCGATAGCTATATGTGACTTTCCATATACTGATTCAGATGTGTCGGACATTTTTTTAATTTCTAGGCATTCTGGAAGAGATAATCTTGCTTTCGATAATACCTTCCTATCAGCAACCTGCAAAAAGTAATTCGAGACTTCTACCAAATCCCCAGTCACAACAATAAATTAGTTACTTGATTTGTTATGGAAACGTAGGAGCAGAACTTGTATTGGTGACCTTCGCCACAAATTCCACACTTATAAATTTGTTTGTGATTATAGTTTTCACCCTTTAATTCTTTGTTTAATGAATCATTTGAGTTAAGAGCATTTACGCAATTCATCGTTGATTGAACATAAAATTCTCACAAATTATCAAAATCAAAGGCAGCTAGATTAATTTTAATTGTCATAACCTCTTTCGGATCTTTGAACATTAGTACTATAATCTCACCCCCGCCCTTTAAATCTTTTATCTATGGTACTATCCAAATGGTGGTTTTTATCACCAACTATATATATATCCATTGTGCATCTGAATTAATAGTAGCCACAAATATGAAATGGGATCAACAATGATTTAGCAATATTTATAACTTATGAAATATAATTCTCTACGATTGCCAGGAATGGGCGAACGATTCTAGTTATCTTGCCCATCATTTGTCGCAAGTTAAACTTCGGCATGTTTTGAGGACGTAAATATTTTTCTATAAACTTAAATATTCGGCGATAGATATTTTTATTATATAGTTTTGTTAGGTAAATTTCCAGAAATGCAGGTTCACTCTCAGGCAGCCCCGACCATATTGCAGTGGAGCCCTGATAAGAAACACAGTGAGAGAGAACGGTAACCCATTAAATTAATTCCTTATGTTTAGTGATTTCTCACATTTGTAATTAATTTTATATTGTTACAGATGGGTTTGCATTTATCCAGCTTATATTAATAATAAAAAGTCAATTGCACAGGGAAGGAGAATTGCAAAAGAAAAATGTGTGGAAAACCCAACTCATCAAGAAATTAGAGATGTTTTAGTTGATGCTGGTTTTAAGGTAACTGAGACGTTAAGTTAATAAAATGACTTTTTTGGAAATTTTGTAATACCTAGAATTCATTATATTAATCTATCTGCCAATTCTAACCCTTCAAATTTTACTATATATATTATTCTCTTCTATTTCATGTGGCTTGTTCTGTCTGTGCACAATTTGTCCTTTTGAATATTTATTTTTGACTCAATTAAAGTAACTCCTTTATATTAACATGAAATGTTTCATCTTAATTTATGTTGTTTCATATCAATTTTTTATAATCATAACAAGTGTAAACTTACGTGCCAGTTAGTTATTACCATCAAATAAACAGTCAAAAATATGTTTTGTTTTGAAAGGAACTATTAAGGCAATGAGACTTGAAAATAATTTAAAAACGTTTAATTATAGACAATCAAAATAAAATCAGCAATGTTACACAAAACACTTAATGAGTATATTATTAATGTGTATTGGGAGCATATGGGCCCAAATTGCTGCGGACTTTGAGGTATTTGGAATGTGCAAGGTTTTCACATATATTTTTTCATTCCTACTTACATCCGTACTCATAAAAAAAATAACTTTTTTTAAAGAAACACCATTATTTTATATTCTTATAGATCTTTCTTTGTGCTCTTTGACAAACAATATGTTTTTTGTGACAAAGGAGCAAGGGAGTATTGTTATTAATTATTAAGAAAACTAATACTTTATGGTATTTGTGGTGTTGTTTACAATTAAATATCAAGTTATCTGATAAATTGTACATCTAGGGAGTATCAAAATATAAAGTGTCTAGTTTCACAATGAATGGTTCTTTTTTATATAAACACCCTTTTGAATTTAAAAATCCTTGAAAAAATGGTTGAAAGCACAAGTTGAAAGAAATTTTGAAAATATAGTTAATTGATTTCAATAAAATAAACTCCCATTTAAAGTTTTGAAAAACAAAATACCTTTGTTTTACTTCATTACTTCATTAAGGCTACCAACTATAGCTAATAGATCTTTGACCTAAGACAGCTGTACTTCTTAAATCTTATCATAAATATTAAAAATAATAAAAAATTTAATTGAATTAAAAACAATTTGGCAAAGATACTTTCAAAACTATGCCCAAAGGGCTTACAACATTCTGCCAAACAAGTTAAAACCAAAAATTTAAAAAGTAAATTTTAAATCAGAAATAAAAAGATGATTCAGCCAGGGATATTTGAAATGATTTAAACAACCACATCGAATTTTTTAAATACGTTTTTGATAAAAAGAGTTAATTTATACCAATTTTATTTATGTCTGTTTATACTTTTCTCTCGCATATGACAAAAAATCGTAACTATAGCCAAAATCCCGAAATTTAGAATAAAATGGAATGACCGAACTAGTGACCATAATATTAACGGATAGGACTATTATCGCGTACAAGCAGAATATTTTCTGCCTTTGCCATTATTTTTTATTTATTTACAATGATTTTAACACCATTATTTTAAACTTTTACTTATTTATTGTAAGTCATATATTTATTTATTATTTTTTTCTTTAATTTTTCAAAGAAACTTCCAAAGGCTACTGTAATACTTTTTACAAAACTTCTGGATTTCTCCTGCGTCGGTTTTTGCTCAGTCGAACTTGCTGGTTTCCATTTGAGATGCCAGGAGTTTACAGCATTCCATGCATTTGCGGCAAAGAATACATTGGAGAGACTGGACGAAAAATATCAACTTGGCTCAAAGAACATGAAAGAGTCTTACGACTAAGACAACTAAACTCATCAGCTGTTGCCGAACACAATCACTAAAGCGGACAAAAATTTTTATTCGATTAAACTTAAATTCTTGCATGTAATCAATTCTTCTACCAACGAAAAATCCGAGAGTGTATGGAAATCTATAAACAACCTAACAATCTTAACCGCGACTCAGGTCTCTTCCTGTCACCAATATGGGAATCAGTCATCCGAGACGATGTTTATACCCCTCATTTAGCTCCGCCCCCTCAAGCAATATAGAAGCAGGTACAGAGTAAAATGCAAGCCAGTATCAGTCAAACTCTGAAGAAGCCAACAGGATGATTGGCGAAACGTCAGCAAGTTCGACTCAACAAAAACCGACGCAGAAGGAATCCAGAAGTTTTGTAAAAAGTATTATTTTCTTTTTCTGATTTCAAATATAAATATGTATCTAGAAAGAGTATTTCAAATGTCCCACCATTTTTAGAAACTGTAGGAGATACGACAATCGTTAAATTGAGGCAGAGTAGCTTTAGAGACATTCGAGAAAAACCGAAAATTGAAGATTTAAAACCCACCAAATGCACATTTTCATTGGAATTTTTTTTTAGCTGTAGGATGATGCTTTTAGATTTGTCGCTCTGATGTTTCATCTTTCTTGTCATGATTTGATAATATATGAGTGTATCATCCGTTAAAACACTTTTTTTTCCAGGTTGGCGTCGAAAACAAATTGTATAGTCGAGAAAGGAGCAAGGAATTGCTTTATAGGGGACGTATCCGAGTTCAGTTGAAAAATGACGACGGTTCCCTTTTCAATCCTAAGTTTTCTTCAAGGGAAAGTATTATGCTGTATCTTGGAGAAAAAATTCCAAAATTGAAATCTAGAGTCAGCAAACCGTCTGGTGAACAGACTGCGCAGACCTCTCAAGGGAAGGGCAAAGGAAAAGGGAAAGGGAAAAAATAAAATATTTTTCTTAATTGCATAAAAATTATATATTTTTCTGTTTTTTCCCTTGGATATTATGTTGTTTTGTTATGATTTTGAAATCATATTGGTGAGATAACTTTGAAATATACTTATAGCTGTTTAGACATTTTTTGTTTTTTTCTATGGAAATTGCATATTTTAGTTCAAGTCACGTATTCACTCTTTCTGTTTAACTAATTATATTCTTTCTTTTATCTTTCACCCTTCCTATTTAACAAACTATATTACTTTCTATTTGTAGTGATAATTATTATTTAAAAAAAGCAATCTCCAAAGGCATTAAAAAAAAGCAAGCTTAGGTAGTTTACCAACATTTTTTAGTTCCAGAAGAAAACTGACCACGCCAATGAATCTTATGTAAAAAGTCACGTATTGTATTTGGTAGCGATTTAGTTTTCTATTCATCATCTTTCACTCTTTCTGTTTAACTAATTATATTCTTTCTTTTATCTTTCACCCTTCCTATTTAACAAACTATATTACTTTCTATTTGTAGTGATAATTATTATTTAAAAAAAGCAATCTCCAAAGGCATTAAAAAAAAGCAAGCTTAGGTAGTTTACCAACATTTTTTAGTTCCAGAAGAAAACTGACCACGCCAATGAATCTTATGTAAAAAGTCTCTTCCCACCAGGTTTACTTTTGATAAGATTTACGCATAAACGAACTAGAAAGATACGTGCTGTATTCACAAACCCAAGATAGTTATGAAATGTCTCTTTGTGTAACCTTCCATTTCATAAAAAATCAGCCTCTTTTCACGAAATCCGCAACACGCTAGCTTTATTAATAATGGGGATGCGCAGTAAAACCGCAAAAATGGGACACTCTGTAGATAGAAGACTATGTATATCAATTGGTTCTATGTTCAGTTTTTGATTAGATGGAAATTTTTTAGAAGTATATTTCGCTTTTTTTTAACAGCGATTTCAACACCTTAAACTTCATTGGGCATTTGGACATATTGATAAGGAGTATATTTATATTACCTTTATTATGGTTACCCTTGTCCGAATGGTTCCTGCATATGGTGACTTGTTCTATCAGTGGCGTAGGATAAAACAATTTATATGCTATTTCGTCATAGAAATAATGAAGTGATCTTTATTACTTCATTCCCGTTAACTTTTAGTTTTGTTATCATGTTATTATACAAAATGTTCATTTTTAATGCAATACAAAATTTTAAAACATTCCTGTTTTGCAAAACAAAATTGAGTGAATAGGGTTTTAGTGTTATGTGTTGCTGAATGCTTTTGAAAAGGAAATAAAAGAAATGAAAACTTGAAATGATGAAAAATATCTACTTTTTTCGTTATTTGATTGTACTAGGGTACAAATGAAATGCACCTATATGGGTACCTAAATAAAATAAAATAAATCATTAAAAATAGGTTTAATGTAAACATATTTAAGAACCTGTAACATAATTTTTCGTTTGGTAAAAAGTTTTTTTCAACTCTTGGTAATTTTCCTGTTTTTAAGAGCATTCTAATTATATCACCACTTGGATATATGTTGCTTCCATATCATTTAATATAAATGAAAGGATTTAAAAACTTTTGTATGTGCCCATAGAGTTCTAAAATACCAGTTACATAGGTATAACTTTATAAATGTTGAGAGATAAGCTGTCTGCAACTAAGTGTAAGTAAGTGAGTATAATTGTGCTTCTGCAGAATATTGCATGTTGTAAAGTTGGTTTCTATTATTTCACCAATAAATTTTTCATTAGGTAAACCATCGTCAGTAAGGCATTCAGGATATTTTTTTAAAGTAAATTCATTGAAAGAACCATTGACTGTAACGATGCCAATTTTGTTCTGATTCTTTAAAATTTGTTCTTTTCTTTAAAATTCGTACACCAAGCACCTTCTTTGTGGCAAATCGGGTTGTAAAATAAATGGTTAAGAACTTTTAACAGCATTCTCGTTGTCAGGTGTTTTAAGTAGCCTCTTTTGTATAAAACTGTCAAATGACCGACCTTAAAAAAAACAGAAACGGTTCTTCCTTTATTCCTCCTTCTAACACATTTCAAAAATGAAGACCTTAGATAGAGTCCTGATATATATTGAAATTCAAATTTATATGTACAGCTGGTTTCATAAATAATTGTATTCAAGTTAGAATATGGTAGAACGGTTGAACTAACCAAAACTGTGACAAGGTATGTAAGAAATATGGGAAGAATTGTCGCTTGAAGAAAACTTCATAACTCCTTTCATGACTATGTGACGAAGACTTCAAACTGTGATTATTTTCAAGTTGTTTATTTAAAAGTTAAAAATTATCTTTTTATTTTTAACATAAATAAAAGTTGAGTCTGTTTAGGTTAGACTTTTTTAATGATAAAACTTACGAAAACACTGAATACTCTTAACACTCTAATACGTATACCTATATAATATAAGCACAATATACATTTTTGCAAGATATTTTCACCGTTACCAAGAAGGTCTCATTGCTTATAACAAGAGATGGATATATTCTTCTTGTAGGTATCAAGGAGCTCACGCAATACCAATGCATTAGAAACACGCGCTCTTACGCCCATACAGTTAACGAAATACCTACACTAAACTATTCGATTTCCACAAGGAAAAAAAATTTAACTCTCAAAAATATGTGTATTGATTTTTATTACTCATAGTGTTTGTATAAACCTGCCTTTAGATCCCATATTGGACGTCAAAACAAACTTTATTTTGTCAAATGTGTTTACTGCTCAAAATATTAAATAGAATTTTTAAACCGTATCATTTTTTTTTATGAAACTAGCTGTTCTTTTAATATATCCACATGAATAGTAGGTACAGCCGATTAAATTAATCTAACTTTCGAGTGTAATTTACTACCCTGATCCAGATTTTTCGTTTTTTAGCATCTTTAGGAAAACTAAAAACAATAGTATGCACATTTAAGAGGCAACTGTATTATTAGGTAAAACATTTATTTAGGGATAACAAAAGAAATATATGATGGCATACATAAATAGAGTGGCAAACATTCATGCCGAAAAATAGTTAGGAAAATAATATAAATGTTACGTTCAGAATTTTGTAGAGTTTTTTAACATCCACTCGCTGCACGGCTAACCATGTTTATTTGTAAAAATAACCAAAATACTTACTTTTGGTACTAATTAAACAGTTCAAATTAGTGTAAAGTTTACGAAAATATTCGTAAAAAAAAGCTTTCAATCTAGAAAATCTAGTCATACCCTTCCTTGCAACAAAACAGGAGTACAATAATTTCTGGTTTTCGAGATGGCCGATTTTGTCTTTCCGACACACAGCGTCCTTTCTTCTTCTTCATTCATTCTGATTTCCTGTTTTGGTGCTTCTTCTGAATGTTTGATTAGTTTTTTAAGATATAAAACTGTATTTCATCTGAGGTTTAAAATTGAATTCGAAGATATTTTTATTAAACTTCTCTGTTGATTGTTCTACGAATGTTTTTAATTATTTACTTATAAACAAAAAATCAAATGTAACTATAGACATACCTAAAAAAATGTACTAAAAAGAAAATATTTGCAAAATTTTCCCCCCCTTAACAAGAATATTTATGCTATAATAAATTAGTATGTTGACAATAAATAAATTAAGTTAGTTTTTTATCTTACCCAGCCTGAAAAGCTGTTTCTAACGTTCCAGTGGCGAAAGTTATAACATTTAAAGAGAAATAAATTGTTCATAGTTTAAGTTTTGATTGTTTTATTTTATCTCAAAAACTAGTGATTAATTCTAAAAATAAAAAATCCAAATCGCTTCGATTTTGTTCCAAAAAGTCAGAACAACTAGAACTCGTCCCGAAATGAAAACTTTTTAATAATATGCTGAAATTGGAGTGCAATTGAACAAAATCATTTAATTATTTCCAGTATCTTTTTGTTTTCCAATATCACCATCCGCTTTTCAAACGTTTTGGTGAACCCAAATGAAGGCTCGTTCTTTAAAAAACGTCCAAAAATTTAATAGTGGCAAATAAGGTCTCGTCAAAAATGACTACTATTTACGTACCTAATATCAATTGCAAATAAGTGTCATGTGACTGAGAAATTTCCCTACAAAAGGATACTGATTTAAATGTCGATATGCTAATTACCAACGTTCGCTACTAAATCTAACAATTTGTTGGAAGTAGCTATAAGCACATTTGTGAAAATAATTAAAAGCAGAAAAAAAATCATAATTCTTCAGGCAATATTATGGTTACGAAGTCAGGCATTATACAATGTTTATCATCAAATTATCGCTAAAAGATTTATATGTTTGAAATTAAATATAACAAAAAAACATGGAATCTCCGAAATGCCGAATTGAGTTCACGGTGATGTCCTGCTAAAATTTCGGGAAAACTAACAAAGGCAACTTTTTAAAAATCTGTTTATCTAAATGTTTTTTATATACCGCATTCCTACAGTATTAGAAAAAGATATTTGGTACTGCTTACTGCAAAACACCAGTGAGTTACTTCGGAAATTTCCGGTACTTTAGTCACGGTTTTCGGTAGATCTATGCCTAAAAATGATTACTACTTGTGGAATTTAATAATGTTTTTGTTTTGCTCTGCACTATACAAGGTGTTGTCTAATTGAATGGCAATAATTAATTCGGCGATTTTCAAATGAACATAAGTCCTAAACGTCTTAACTTTTGGGATACAGAGTGGCAAAATTTTCAAAAATAAAATATATTTTTTTAATATCTGTAATACCACTTTATATATTTTAATGAAATTTCGCACACATGTACGGTGCTTTCAATTTATCTTGATAACATTTTAATTGGCTGTAACTTTTTTGTTTTTAGAGATATCAAGGTAAACAAAAATAAACAAAATGTAAACATATTAGTAAACAACGTCAATGGTTGAATTATTGTCCAAGTTATTATTGTTAAAATAACTTTTCGCGAATTTAGCATCCGTGAAAGGACTGATGTGCTTCAAGTATACTTTCTGAATAATAAGCTTCTCGTCAGTATATTAGACTTTATCCAAAGTGCCTAGCTCCTTCAAAACAGATATTTTCAAGGGTGGCAAAAAAATTTGCAGAAAACGGTAACTTATTAAATGCTAAAAAGAAATGCCGGAATCATAATGTTTTAAATGAAG